GCATCATCTTTTCCACATAAGAAGTAGCTTCAAAACTCATCAGTGAAAAACATTTCTCACATGTTGGTGTCTCATTTAGATAGTCTTTTTCATCCTCTGCTATGACTTCCTCAGAGAATAGGACCTACAACTTAGACAAGATACATGTTTTAAATGGTGACTAAATACCATACATACTTTTGAGTGTCTGAATTTGAAGGCTTTGTGTTGACGTATTTAGTAGACTATATATAGAGAAAACAACATCTAATTAAATATAAAATAAAAGAAGATTCTTTGAAAGTAACATTTAATTATCTGGCACACATACCTAAAATCAACAATAAACTGTGTTGCTGTGGAACAATCTTTGTACACTGTAAATATGTATTACTCTTATTGGTTAATAAAGAGCTGATTGGGTTGTAGTTGGGCAGGAAGAGATTGGGCAGGAGAGTCTACTAGGAGGGTGCTGGGAGAAGGGAGGAGTCTTGAGAATTGACAGCCAGACACAGAGGAAGAAGGATGTGCATGTAATAAGGTAACAAGACATGAGCCACATGGTAGAACTTAGATAAGAAATATGGGTTAATTTAAGCTGTAAGAGCCAGTTAGTAATAAGCCTGAGCTATAGGCAGAGCATTAATAGTTAATATTGAATCTCTGTGTCAGTTATTTGGGAACTGGTGGGTGGGAAAGAAAAGTCTGTCTATACTATGCTACTTTTTCAAAATTCCAATAAGTGAATTTGACATGGCAATAAGAAACTGTTAACTACAAATTAATATATCAACAGTTTTTGTTAAACTTTTGCTTAAATTAGAAATAAAGAAGAAAACAGGTGAATGAGACATAAGACTAAGAGACATATTAGACATATTAAGCAGTTTATTATAGGCCCAGCAGAGTAGGGAGACTAAAGAAGAGAAACAGGGTTAATGGCTGACTGCCATGGCTGGTCGCCATAGAGAGAGAGAAGAGAAGCAGAAGCAGACAGAGAAGAGGAGAAGAGTAGAGAGAGTGTAAATGGGCAGGGATCTGTCTTTTAAAGGGGTCCTTTGCAGTTGTGTGCAGACTTAGTTCCCATGGAACCCTGGGCTGACCAGGGTACTGCCTGTTCTGCCAGGTAACAGGGGCAGGCCAGCATAATGCCTGAACCTTTCAGTTTTTATTATTTCTTGAATTATACTACAGTAACACCATTTTCCCTTTCCCTTTCTTCTGTTCAAGTACTCTCATATAAGCCTTCTGTTCAAATCCTCTCATATAAGCACCAAATACCATTGGACATGGTAGTGCATACCTTTAATACTAGCATTCAGGAGGCAGTAGCAGGTGGATCTCTATGGGTTTCAGTCCAGTCTGGGCTACATAGTGAGTTCCAGGTCAGCTAGAACTACCTAGAGACCTTGACTTAAAAACAAAACAAAACACAAAGTACCACTGATAACACAAGCAATAGCACAAATATCAACAACATGACAGCAAATACTGATACACATTTCAATAATTACTTTAAGTATCAATGGCCTCAATGCTCCAATCAAAAGACATGGGTTGAATGAATGGATCAAGAAACAAAATCCATCTATCTGCTGTCTACATAAAACACGTTTTAGCTTTAAAGATAGGTGCTACCTTAATGTAAAATGGTGGAAAACTATTTCAATAAAATGAGACCAGGAAGCAAGCAGGCATAATTATCTTAACATTGGACAAAATAAACTTCAAACTAAAAATAATCAGGAGAAATAGAGAGGCACTTAATCCTAATCAAGGGAACAGTTAACCAAGGAGACTTTACTATCCTAAACATATATGTAGCAAACTTGGAACACCCAATTTCACAAAAATATGCTCCTGGATTTAAAGTCACAAATTATCATCAATCCATTAATGACAGATAATTTCAATACTCCATTTTCTCCAATAGACAGTTCATCCGAACAAAAAATAAACAGAGAAACATCAGAAATAACTAACATCATCTATCAAATGCAATTAACAGATAGTTACAGAATAGTTCACCCAAACACCAAAGAACATACATTTTACTCAGAAGTGCATAAAGTAGACCACATCTTGGGACACAAAACAAATTTTTACAAATTCAAAAGAAATGAAATCACTTCTTGCATCCTATATGACCCCAATATAATAAAACTTAAAACTGACAGACAAAAGTCTCTGGTAAATACACACATACTCGTGGAGACTAAACAACTAATTATTGAAAGTTTAGTAGCTCAAAGAAGAAATCAAGAAAGAAATAATTACATTTCCTGGAGCTAATGAAAATGAAAACACAACACACCAAAACCTCTGGGATACTTTGGAAGCAGTCCTACAAGGGAAATTTGTAGTTCTAAGTGCCTACATTAAAAAAAAAATCAGAAAGATTACAAATAAATAACTTAATGATGCCAACTCAAAAATTTGGAGAAACAAGAACCAATCAAATCTAAACTCAAACGATGGCAAGAAACAATAAAATTCAGATCAGAAATCAATGAGATAGAAATAAAGAAAACAAAAAAATCATTGAATCTAAGAGGTGATTCTTTGAGAAGATAAACAAGATTCATTGACTGTTGGCTCAATTAATCTAAAGAAAGAAAAAGAGGACCCAAGTTAACAGAATCAGAAATGAGCAGGGAAGCATTACAACAGATACTGAAGAAATCCAGAATATCGTAGGGTAATACTTTAAGAACCTGTGCCCCATTAAGCTGGAAGTGAAGAAGTAGTCATCAACCTAAACAGACACATAACAAATAAGGAGATTGAAATAGGAATAAAAAGCCTTCCAGTTAGAAAATAAAGTCAAGGGTCAGATGGATTCACAGTGGAATTCTTTCACTGAAGATCTACATGCATTTTTTCTTTAACTATTAAAAAAGGCAGAAATAGAAGGAGGGCTCCCAAATTCCCTCTACAAAGCTAGTATCATTTTAATACCCAAACCAGGAAAAAGTTCACGAAAAGAAGAAAACTACATGTCAATATCCCTGATGAACATAGACTCAAAAATGTTTATTAAGACATTGCAAATAAAATACAGAAATACATCAAAAAGATTACACACTATAACCGAGTTGACTTTATTCCTGAAATTTATGGATATGTAACACACACTAGTCAATAAATGTAATAAATCACATGAATGGACTTAAAGACAAAAACCACATAAACATCACCATAGATGCAGAAAAAATAAACCTTTGACAAAAATCCAAAATACATTGATGATAAAAGTCCTAGAGAATGTAGAGCTAGAGGGAACATACCTCAACATAATAAAAGCTATAAATGAGAAAATCATAGCCAACATCATCCTAAATTAAGGAAAGGTTGAAGTCACCCACTTAAATCAGGAATTAGACAGGGATGTCCATTAGTCACACTTCTTTTCAATATTGTGCTCAAAGTCCTAGCTGAAGCAATAACACAAGAGAAGGAAATTAAAGGCTTCTTTTCAATATTGTGCTCAAAGTCCTAGCTGAAGCAATAACACAAGAAAAGGAAATTAAAGGCATACATATTACATACATATTGCATCCATGGTAATCTTAATCCAATCAAGTTGACAATGAAGATTAACCATCACAGGTAGGAAAGACATTTATGTCTATTTACTGTACTTTGAAATACACAAACATGTAAGTATTATATTCTCACGTTTCTTCCTTCCTTCCTGTTTTTTTTTTTTTTTTTTCTGTTCCGAAACAGGGTTTCTTTGTGAAACAGAGCTGTCCTGGGACTTGTGTTGTAGACAAGGCTGCTCTCAAACTCAAAGATCTGCCTGCCTCTGCCTCTGAGTGCTGTGATTAAAGGTGTGCGCCACCACACTCAGCACGTTCTCATATTTCTTAGGAAAAAAATACATGGCTCTCATAAGATAGCAACAGGCATCATATATTGATTGTATATAGTATTATACATGTTATATATTATTATGTATATTATATAAGAGCATTTTAGTCTTGGTTCTCAAAACACAGAGTACATAATTCTTAATATATACTATTTCCCTGTGGCCACCTCATGCTGGGTTATTTATTAACACAGTGTACATAAAAGCACCTCTACGGGCTGGAGAGATGGCTCAGCCATTAAAGGCTAGGCTCACAACCAAAAGCACTTCTACAAGTTATCAGTAACAATCTGAGAACCTGGCATTCATTCTCACTTCTAGAGTGACTGCTGAGTGGGATCCAGGGAGCCTTACTAAATATCTGTTCAGGGGAGGAATTCACCAGATTTCCCCTCATTATGTACTGTGAGAACCCAGTGTGTTCCAGGCTAGGTATTTGATACCTCAGACCGGGACAGGGGCCAGCAAACTACCAGACAAGAACTGTTGGGTTATTCTGGTCTAAGAAGGTCTGTGCCTGGGTCACAGAGACTACCACAGACAAGCAAGGTGAGAGTAGTTTGCCCGGTGGGTGTGGAACACAGCCAGAAGTGTTCACACCTGGGCTGTCCTGGCAGATGGTTTAGGCACGGCACAGAGGGAGACGCCAGGCTTTTTTTGGAGGGGTGGCGAACGGTGTCTTGGGAACTGGGAACTGAGCTGCTTACCGTGTCCACCGTAGGCCCTTGAGGTTCTTTCAGTAGGCATCATGGGTCTGCTCAATACCACTGTTCTGTCCAAGAGTAGGAAATTTCCACGTTCTAACGCTAATCCTAACTCTATCACTAACAACCATAATCTTAAACCTTGTAGAGAGATAGGCCTGCATTCTCGGTCAGGCACTTGCCTCCGAAACTGACCAATCACTGCCTTGGAAGTCTTCACTTCAAATGGGATTAGTGTTTGGTGGTGGTGGTGGTGGAGCAAAAAAACAACAACAACAACAACAACAAAAAACCAAAACCAAAACAACAACAAAAAACCTTCTGCGCATGCGCAGCAGCTGGCCGCGTGGTAGGCCAGAGGGACGCGCAGCGTACTGCGCAGGCGCAGTGCGCAACAGCTGCCCGGCTGCTGTGGCCGCTGAGTGAAGTGGAGCAGCGTGGCCACCAGACCGCAGCCGTTGGGCATGGAGCCCAAGGACTCAGCAGACCCGCTCCACAGGCCTGAGGGGGCCGGAGGTAGTGGCTGAAGGGAGCCTGGGTTGTCCTGGCGAGCTGTGGGGTGAGAGGGCCTCCTGTCGAGGCCTGAGGCGATCTGGGCCGGTGGGCGCGAACCCCGGCGTGGGCGCGCTGACTGACGAGGCCTGTGACGTTTGAGGGCCTGCTGGCCGCCTCCCTGTGAGGCCAGGCCTAGTGTGGGGTTGTAGCAGGGCACACTCCTCCCGTCACCTTCAGAGCAGGCTTGCACCAGGCCCTGTGGCACCAGGCCTGAAGTCAGGTGGCCCCACGGGAGCCGGGGTCGCCCTTGGCTGTCTAGAACTTGACGCCATCCCAGCGTGCCTAGCGTGTGGGTGGGCGGCTCACCTCTGAACAAAACTACTGTTCTCGAAACCTTTCTGCACAAACGATTTAGTGTCTGTGTACTGGTTCAGTAAAACAGAGAGGCGATGGGCTTAGGCCGTGAGGCTACGCTCCAGCGTGGACGGTTTTGACTCGTTCGTCAATCTTTTCTCCCACCACTCAGGTCCCTGTTTGATGACATAGCACCACAGACAGTAGTGCAACCCCTGAATGTCCCATGTATGTATATAGAGACAGGTACCCGAGGAAAATAACACTATCGCTAGAGCTATATAATAGTGCCAACAATTTCTTTATCTTAGCAAATATCCAGTTGATTTTTTAAAAATTGCTAATTGTTTTAGTTTTTTTTATACAATGCATTTATTTGGATCAAAACCTATTTACAGACCACTTTCTTTCTTTCTTTTTTTTTAGATTAAATAGATGTGTCTCTTAAGACCCTTATCATTCCTGAGGAGTCTTTCTCCCCTACCTCCTTCCCCTTGATGTTAAAAAAAATTCTCTATATAGTTTCCCAGTCTGTATGGTGCCACATGCACGTTTACGGGGGATCTCTAGCCCTTAATTGTTTTTTTTTAGAACTTGAGTTAATAAGTTAATACTTAGTTAATACTTAGTTAATAAATATTAGCATCAGTTTTATAAGAGTTCTTAATAGGGGACATTTTTAAAATTAAGTGACTCATAATGTCTGGTTCCTTTATTATGTTGGTAATGCCACAAACAGTGATTTCTAACATCCAGTTCACCAGATAATTTAAAATAGGTGCATATTGGCTATAAAAATTGCTGGGCAGCAGTGGTGCACACCTTTAATCCCATCACTCAGGAGGCAGAAGCAAGCGGATCTCTGTGAATTCAAGGCCAGCCTGGTCTACAAATGGAGTTCCAGGACAGCCATAAGGGCCACACAGAGAAACCCTGTTTTGAAAAACAAAACAAGACAAACAAAATGAATACAAAATATTACTTTATATGGAAGCTTTATAATCAGTATCAATTATATATTGAGAAGCTATTTGAATGTATGTTTTAACAAGCTCCCTTACTATAATACATTTTGTTTATAGTCAATGTATTTTGGGTAAGACTTTCTTGAACTTCCTAATTGATAATGCTATCAATCCATTACGGTGATTTTTCAACTACTTTCCAGTATTTTAGCAACACCCTCTTCCCCCAGTGGTGACTAAACTCAGGGCTTTGAATATGCAAAGCATGCTCCCTACCACTGAATCCCAGCCTTAGCCATTTGCTTGTTTTAAGAAAGGATCTTTATGTAGCTTAAGGTGGGTTTTACCTTGTGATAAAGGCTAGGGTAGACACAAACTGTTGATCTCCTGCCACTTTCTCTAAGTTCCAAGATTACAGGTATATGCCACCACACCTAGTACCCTAGTCTTTGTGAACTTGACCTAGCTTTGATAACAATCAGCAGCACAAGTGAACCAAATATAGCACTGCCCTAACCTTGAGTTTTGTGTTTCTAATTGCACCATGTAGGAAAAGGCTGTCCATGGAGGGGCCCAACTCACTTTTTTGTATTATCTATTTTGGGACAACCATCAGTAACTCTGTTCTGGTTAGAGATCTGTCCTCAGCTCGTCTCAGTATCAGTTTAGGTACTGGATCCATCTGGCAATTTATCCTGTTGAATTTGAAAGTTTGGTTTTGTCTCCACAGGGCAGAATGTGACCACACAGAAAATTGAAGGCTTAATGGAAATGGTGAAGAAGTTGAAGAAAGGTCCAGTGTCTTTTTTGCTAATGGGCTTACCCTGAGGTTTGAAGTCAGGCAGATGTAGATTCAACTCCAAGCACCACAATTCACAAAAATAAGACATTATTTTATTCACATTAACTTTCTTTAAAACGTAAATTTGGGTGTGTGTGTAGAGAGAGAGGTCATCAGTTAAGAGCACTAACTGCTTTTGCAGAGGAGTGGGTTTGTTTCCTAGCACTCATAAGGTGTCTCACAATTATTAGTAAGTTCAGTTCTAGGAGGTCTGACGTCCTCTTCTGGTCTCTGCAGGCACCAGGCACACATGTGATGGGCTTACATGTATGCAAGCAAAGCACTCATGCATAAAATACAAGTAGATGCTTTTGTACTTAAATTTTAATTTTAAGAAACATTTAATGTGTGTGTGTGTGTGTGTGTGTGTGTGTGTGTGTGTGTGTGTGAGCACACAGTGGTTCATGCTCACATACGCATACCATTTCAAAGAATGTGTAAGTCAGAGGTTAGCTTAAGGGAGTCAGTTTTTTCCTTCTACCATGTGAGTTTGAGGGGTCAAACTCAGGTTGTCAGGTTTGGTGGCAAGTACCTTTATCCACGGCACCATCTCACTGGCCCCTTAAATTTTAACTTTTGAACTAAAAATAGAGCCCCAGTGATTCAGAATTAAAAAAGCATGAGTGAATAGAAGGCAAAATGTTTTCCCCAAACCTTGTCCCAAGTCTCCCTTGACTGCACAACTCTGTTAGATCCAGGTTTTACCCATATCTCTTCTTCCATCTTACATCCCGCCACCTTCTACTTGTTTATCGTATCCATCATTTTCTTTCCCATTTCCTCCTCAGGACAGGCCTTTGCATTTTGCATCCCTCACTTTACCCAGAGAGCTTGAGGGCCTTCCTTTCTTACAAGACACTTTTTCACATCTGAGAAGCACTTCCTGAGCTTCATTTCTCATGACAGAGTTACCACAGCCTGACTCAGCATCTCTATTGGCCCTCACACTCCAAGTTTGAGACCATGATGTAACACCTGTACATATTCAGTGCTCAGTAGATTTATGGGAAGGGAAAGCTGCAGAATCCCAGGCAGTCACACTATCAACAGTGAGTTTCCTTTCTGCCCTGCAGTGGGAAGTCTAGAGCCCCGGGTTGAAGTCCTGATTAACCGCATTAATGAGGTTCAGCAAGGTGAGCTCAGTTCTGACTGCTATCCAAGACCAACTACATGTTTTTTCAGGCTAGGCCCAGTAAAAAGTGGAAATACAGGTGTCCCTGTTAAATACCTGTAGTTATTGCATGAGAACATAAGTGCAGGCCATTTCTGTATGTAATTGCCATAGTCCCTGCTGCCACCTGAGCCCAGAAAGAAGGGCCCAGATTTAGAAAGCCTTGTTTGCTGTTTTATAAAATCTGGGGCCCTCTAGGTTTTCTTGGAGACAAATATGAAATGTCATCCTTACCAAATGTTTGTCTTACTCTTTTGGTAAAGCAAAAAAGAAAGCCAGTGAGGAGCTTGGAGAGGCCCAGACTGTCTGGGATACCCTGCAGAAGGACCTGGACTCATGTAAGTTAACTGAGATTCACTAGAGGTTCCCAGAATGTCTTAAACGACTCCCAATGCAGTATTGTAGGCACTTGACATCCTCACCAATATCAAGATTCTCCTCTTTCCCCAACCTCATATTCTTCTAGTATTCCCAATTTCTAATAGGAGAGTTCTGGAAATGCCTTTGAAGACAATTCTGCTCTGGGTCCTTTGCAGAGATGATTCTCCACAGATCACACAAGTTCTTGCCTCACAGCACCAGCTCTGAAGAGGTCTTTTTAATCATCTTGTCTTACCTGGTCATATAGCCCTTCCCAGTCCTAATGGGTGTCACACATGGTACCATAGGGATGGGAACTCACCTCAAAGAAACTACATCTGGGTTAGGGTCACAGCTATACCTTGCCTCTCATATTACTGCCCTTGAAATTTCTGCATTTGGTCCCTAATGCCTAAGCCTTCATCATGTTTTCTAGTACATGAAGAGAAAGTACGTCTGAAGGATATCTTGAACAAAAAGCAAGGTATTCCCGTATTTCTCATATCTAGGCTTTGTGATACCCTTCCTAAGCCTATTCTCTCTAGTTTCTAGAACCTTAAGACCCCCTGACCTGTATCCTTCCTATGGCTTTTACAAGACCCAAAAAATGTCCAAGTCCAATCAAGTGTCCATAGACTTGACGTGACCTGTTTTGTTCCATCTGGCAAACATGATGCCTTAACAAGCACTCAGAGGGCTCTGTTATCCTTACAGAGGCTCTGAGGATTATCCGGCTACAGTGCCAGGAGAAGGAATGCGAGGCACAAAGGTAAGATACCATGCCTATAGTGGCCTCCCTAAGTATTATGTTACCTTCCATATCACCTACTGTGTTAGACACAGACCTGAATAGAGAGGAACAGAAGTCCCCAACTCTCTCTCTGGGAGAGTCATTCAAAGCACATGACCAAGTGTTGATTTCCTTCCCAGAAAGCACAGCATGTTACAGGAGTGTAAAGAGAGAATTTCTTTCCTGAACTCTCAGATGGACAAGGAGAAGGAAAAACTAAGACAAATGAGGTAAACCAAAAGGCATGATGCTTAGGCTGGAGATGCGCTATAGGTACAAGTCATACCCAGGATGGTCCAGAAGAGCTGGCTAATCTTAGTTCTGGATAGTCAAGGGGGTGAATGTGTTCCCTGCGGAATAGTGGGCATAAACAAAGCCCCTCTGTGGTAGCTCATGGCCTTCATGGCTCTGTGATTGGCTCCTAGGTTGGATTTTGAAGAACAGCTGGAGGGTTTGATGAGCCAGCACAAGGACCTCTTGGAGTTTCATGTGAGTCATACAAAGCTATGCCACCTATCACACTTTGTTCCTGTGTAATCCTTGGTGGTCCTGCTGTCACCCTAAATCCAGCCCTTTATGACCACTCTTGAGGTACTTGATGTCCTCACTGTTGGTCTTTCACATTCACCCATGCTGCTGTGTCTATTCAGTGTTCTGGGGATGCCATGATAGCATCAATGGAGTCATCCATTGACAATATCTACAATGTGTGAGACTGTCCTAGACACAGGAAAGACATCATCGAACAGACAGTTAACATTCACCCTGAGAGTTCTTGGACCCCAGTAGGAACATGGCTAATGTCAGAAGAGAAGGTCAGTGAGGAGGCCATGGAGGAGAGACGAGGGGAAGAAACTCCAGTATCTGACTCTCCAGAGAGTAGCTTAGGATTGTAGATTTGCAGATTTTAGGGTTTCAAATAATTTCCCTTGAACCTATTCCCAGGGTTAAAAGGTTCAAGGAGAGAGAATGGCAGGATCAGTGTCCCCAAGGTTATGCCATGGCTGGCATTCATTGAAGGATAGGGAAGTAGGAAGTGAATATTACTAAGGAAGGAAACTACCAGATCTATACGTGCTTCTCTGAAGCGCAAGGAAGCAGGGAACCTGGACAGATCTTTTTTCTGTGCCACCCCTCAGAAGCCTGAACATCTGGCAAAGGAGACGTGCGCTTTGGACAGCAGCAAGGAGCAGCTGCTCAAGGAAGGTGAGGCTGGTGGGGTCGGGGGGAGAAGGGTGGCCCTCACCTGCTCCAGCGTGCCCTCACCTGCTCCAGCCTGCCTTCACCTGCTCACTACTCTCTTTGTGTAGAGAAACTGATCGAGGTAAAGCTGGAGGATGTGAAACATCGGCTGTCTGCCCTGTGTGGGCCTGAGTCTTCCACTCTTAATGAGAAGCTCTTCCTCCGAAGCCATGAGGCAGCTGCAACAATGTAAGATGCAGGGTGGGGCAGGAAGAGGAAATGCCCAGTGCTTGAATCCTTTCCCCACTTTCAGGCTGCTGTTCAAGGAAGAGAACAAGAAAGCTGAGGAGCTGTTAGAGGCTGCAGCTCAGCACCACCATCAGCTGCAGCAGAGGTGCCAACAGCTACAGCAGAAACGGCAGAGGTGGGTGTGGAGCTCCTGTGTCCTCAATCCTCTCAGGGAAATGAATGACAGCTGCCTCCCCTGTTCTGCCCATGTGTCTCTTCATTCATTCTTGGTTTTCCTGCATCCATTCTCTTTGTCCACTCTTCCTTAATAGGCTGAAAGAAGAACTGGAAAAGCATGGGGTACAGATCCTTGCTCAAATTCAGAGCATGCAAGATGAAGCAGACAACCCATGGAGGATGGTAAATCCTGGGACAGAAGGGAAAGAGGGTAGTGGCATTCCCCAGAGGACAGTCTGTGGGAAAGGGCATTCTTACTGCAGGAGGCACAGATACGGCAAAGGTGTAAATCCATGGTAGCATGGGCGCAGAAGGTGGAAGGGGAAATAATGTGAGCAGGGAAAAATTCCTGGACCTTTACCTCCCACAGGCTAGTCCCAAGCCCCTAGAAGTCCATGAAGAGAAAGACCAAGAGCGTCCACCAAGCAGGAACTGATGCCCTCTTTGACCTGGAAGACATACTGACCCCAAACTCATCATTTGGGGCCTTTTGAAACAGTGGGGCCATTTTGTATAGTTTGCTTTGTCTGAGTACATGCTGGGTGGAAGAATGGAAGCCGCTTTGAACCTGGAGATGTCTTGGCTCAGTTTTGATTCTTGACAAGCTTAGGGTCCACACTGCAGGTCCTTAGTAAATGTTTTCCCTATCTCTTGCTCACCTTTAGTATCTGACACACTCTCTGATCCTGGGTAGAAGGATACAGATCTGGACCTTCTCACAGGATCTGAATCTACCCATAATTTAATTCATAGAGGCCCAGATAGCATTGACTTAGAAACAAAAGGAAGGCATATCACCAGCTCTTAACCTCATGCTAGAATCCACCCCATTCCTTAAGGAAAATAAATGTAATTTGAGTCTGTATTGTCCATGAGCAAGACAATGTTGCAGGAACACCCCAAATTAAAAATGCTCATTTATTTGGGGAGGCCATAATTGGGTGTACCTTCCCCATTCATCCCTGGTTCTATTATGTCCTTGTTTGGTTGCCATTTGTTTTGTGGTTTTCTTGGCATGATGCAAATAAAGTGTATATTCACCTCAAATAAATAAGGAGACAACAAAGAAAGGTTTTGTCTAATCAATCCAACTTAGAGAATAACTGAGTTAGTGGGGTGATTTACAAGATCATGAATGATGCAGAGATGGCTATACCTCTTAATGAAAAGTCCTGCCCCCAGTCAGTCTTTTCCCTCTTGCAGAATGAGGGAGTATTGAATGGAATCCTAGAAGAGGATCTTGTAAGGGTCTCCGACGGGCCCTGTGACCCTTCCCTTGCATGCAGAAGTGAGTGCCAACATCCTTGTTCTCATATCTGCTGTGGGGTTTATTTCATTGCCATGATTCAGGGACAAGGTTTCCCACAGGTTGCCATAGTTACTGAATATTCAAGATGGGTATGGGCTTATCAAGCCCAGAAGAAATATGTACACTACAGAGCAATAGTAAATTCCTTAAGGCAAGACTAAGTCTCCTAAAGAACTACACTCCTGTTTGTTTTGTTTTGTTTGTTTTGAGACAGGGTCTCAATGTGTAGTCCTGTCTGGTTTTGAATTTGCTATGTAGACCAGACTGACACCAAACTCACAGAGATCTGCCTGCCTCTGCTTCCTGAATGCAGGGATTAAAGATATGTGCCACCTTGCTTGGTTTGCAACTTTACTTAGTTGATGCTACTTTCTTGAAAAGACAACCAGATTTGAGCTACCCTAAGCTTCACCACTAAGTGAATATATTTAGTGACTCTGTTGACCAGGTGTCAAACTCAGATGAGGTTATAATTAGTTAATGGCTCTTAGAGCTACACATACCCTCTCTTTTCCCTGTCACTTCAGAATTATCCTAATGGCAATCTGTTAAGTTGAAACCTCTCTGCCCCAAAGCAAATTTTAAAATTATACTCTTACTTCCTTGTTTTTCTAGAGAAGTAGTCTTGCCATTGTGGAGTTATGATGATCTAATTGCCTTCAGTGGGGGTTGTTGCATTTGTTAACTTTGGATTTCAGTAGTGTCCCAAAGTAGATGATCTGGAAAGTGGGGTCAGCCTAAAGCATCTACATTATAATCCTGAGAACCTATGAATATGTACTCTAATCCATAAGAGAACTGTAGATGGAGGTTCTGTTCCACCTGGTCCCACAGTCGTTTAACCCCAAATAAACACACAGAGACTTATTATTGTTAAACTGTTTGGCCAATGGCTAAGCTTCTTACTGGCTATCTCTCTCTTAATTGTTAAACCTTAACTATTAATCTATATATTTCCACGTGGTCTTATCTAACTGGAGAATGCTCCAGTGTCTTCCCAGAAACTACATGGTGTCTTCTCTGGTGGATTCTCTCTGCCTTTCTCCTCCCAGAATTATTCTGATCTGGTAGCCCCTCCTATACTTCCTTCCTGGCTACTGGCCAATCAGTGTTTTATTCATCAACCAATAAGAGAAACATATATACAGAAGGACATTCCCCATCAGAGAACTTTGAATGTATCATTAAATTCAGGGTCTTGAGATAGGCAGATAACCAGGATCTGTAAGGATTCAGGCATTATGTTGGCCTGCCCTTGTCACCTGGCAGAATGCACTCAGGCTGTACCCTGGTCAGCCCAGGTGCAAAGGACCCCTTTAAAAGAAAGACCTCCACCCACTTATGCTCTCTTTCCCCTCTCTTTCCTGCTGTTCCCCTGGGGCAGAAAGGATTTTTTCTGTTTCCCTCTTCTCTTCTGTCTTCTTTCTGAGTCTCTTAACCTCTTTTCTCTCCCTCACATATCCCACAGGATCATCCCACATATCCAAACAAATCCTCAAGAGAAGTCAGGGACAGACTGATTGGAAGATGTTATGCTGTTGGCTATGGAATGGTATTCACTCACTGGGGAACTTTTACATAGCCAAGGGGAAAAGGTCCTCCTCACTAAATTCCCAACTAATATATAATTAGTTGAGATTTTATTTACTCTTTTTCTGCTTCATTTAATGATAGGAACTCTGTATGCTTGGAATTTTTAAAAAACAAAGTCACATTTTAAGGGATAATAATGGACATCTCTGTTGACTTTTCACTTGAGACAGGCAGTTTCCAGGTTCATGAGCGGGGAATGACACAAAGTTTAAATTCAGGTGGGACACAGCCAAAACCAACTGTGACAGGATTGAGATCAATATCCTTTGGGTCAACCAGAGACTTCAGATTAAAATGTTGCAGAATAGCAGACAAGAGCAGAAACAATTCCATGCGGGCCAGGCCTTCTCCAACACATACACGTTTTCCTAGAAGTAACAACAGTGCTGATGAGCTACTGAGGGGTTCTTGAGGAGCAACACTTCCAACATTGAGGTATCGGGAGTGTGGGAGGAGGCTTTAGGTAAATCACCTAAAAAGATTCACTGTCAGTGCTCATTGGCCCCTGTACACCAGTGGTCATATGTCAGAGAACAACAATGGCAATGACTCATTCAGAACTCTGCTACGTAAGCAAGTGATAGTTTAGGGAAATGAACTCAAAGCTTCTTTGCCATAATTTCAGGAAAGTGGGACAGGTGCAAACATAGGTGGTTAAAATTATCAAACTGGCTGTGGGATCTCCCTTTACTGGATCCCTAGGTAGGCCCTGAGAAGGGACCATCTAAAAGGTACAGATGCTTGCTAAGAAGAGTCCAGATAGCTAAAGAATAGAGTTTAGCAATTCTTGTGGAAATTTATGAAGAAGTAGGTAATATAGTTTTGAGAGCTTTTTACTGCCCTGGTTAAAGTGGAAACAGTTTAACAAACAGCCTAACAACTAGAAAAAATGTTATTCACTTTGATAAATCAATCAACCCAAAACATTTTATTTTCAGGACTTCTGATGAAATATGACATCTGACTTCTTTGAACAAGGAGGAACATACTTGGGTTATGTGTTATAATGGCATGGTGGAGTTGGGATGGCAGTCCTCTTCTAGGATGGGGGAAGAGCACATGGGAAGTAGACATAGTATTGGAGAAGACAATTTCCTGGGGATGGTGTGACCCCTGAACTCTGCTTACCTGCAGAAAATGCCTTGAAATGGTCACTGTACTTGAACTTCCCATTTTCATTTAGAAAATGTTCAGGTTTAAACTTCTCTGGATCTGGAAACTCTTGACTGTCAAATAAAAGGGAGTCCAGAGTTGGAATCACAATTGTACCCTGGAAGAAGTAGAAGTTTCTATCAGTTAAGTTAACAAAACATAGGCTTTCAATTAGAAGACCCCAGTGAAGAGGGATGTAATGATAAATCTATCCACCAGCCCCGTCGCCACGTGGGCACCCAAAATAACACACAGATTAATAAAGTAGGTACAATGCTGCTGGCCAATGACTAGGATTTCTTATATGCTAGCTCAGTCTTAATTATCAACCATAACTACTAATCTATATATTTTATAAAGACTTATCTTATTGAGGACGCCAGCCGTATGTGTCCTCTCTTGCCGGTGATTACATGGCGACTCACAGAGAAGAGAGGAGGAGGAAGAGTGATTTCCTGCTTGTCCCTGCTTATATTCTGAGTTTGCCTGCTATGTAACTTCCTGCCTGGATCATAAGACTTCTCTTTACTACATTTCCCAGAATCCTCCTCGATTCTTAGTTCCACCTATCTTGCTTCCCTATTGGCCAACAGTGCTTTATTCAGCAACTGATAAGATAAACATATACACATAAGGACTTCCCCCATCAGAGGGATATTGGAATTTTACATTATGCATGAGAGCATATTTTGATTTGCAGTGTTATTTAAAGACTACATAGAAAAGAGCTTGGGATCAGGTATAAATGAAGAGGAAGGCCCCATATCTTTTATAAGGTGGGTCCCAGGCTGGGTTGCTGCTGCCATGGGTTCTCAGTGTTATAATGTTGTACAAGTCCTATGGGCCAGTTGAAGAGACATTTTCCATGATTCCCTCCATTTCTTTGGTCATAGGGTTATCGGCGTGACTGTGGGTGAAGTGTTCTGCAGGACAAGAATGCTGGCTTGATTTCCATATCCAGCTGCATATTATGGTAAGGGTGCCCTTGAGTCCCAATCCTGAAGGGTAACCTAGATGATAAACTAACAGACAATGCCCATGGAGGGCTCTCCAGCTTGTGCCTTACCTTGGGGATAACATATCCTCGGAACATGGTATCTCGGGTTGCTTCATGGGGCAGGTTGGAGGGGATAAGATTGATGAATCTCTGAATCTCATGCACCACAGCATCCATGTATGGCATCTCCAGCCTGTCTTTGAAAGCAGGAACACGGCTTGGCCCAATAACCCTGTCAATTTCTTCATGAAGTTTCTCTGCCAAGATATGAATGAGATCAGTTTAAAGGGTTAATTTCAGAATTGATGTTCACTTACTATCCATCCATATATATAATTACTTCCACCCACCTGCTCACCTATCTGCCCATATAACTCACCCACTT